TCAATGGTCGCCCAGATCCTTGTAAATCTTATATGGAATGACCCAAAAAAGTTTTTTCTCAGCCCCTGGGGCCACATTCGAAAAACTTTGTACCGGTCATGAACTAGTACCATGGGGGTAACAAACCCTGAAAAGAAGAATCAATTCGGTGACCATGGTGGCAGAGGCCTTGTCGACTTGACGTGGAATGACCCGGAATCAACCACTCTCTAGAGCACGGTGGAGACTATCTGCCCCTCCAGATTTCAAGACTTTTCCACCAGAGTGCGGAAGTAATTGAGGTGAGGAGACTAGGGCTCAGTGGACAATATCTGGCACTCAAGATTCCAAGACTTGTCCACCAGTGAGAGGGTGTAATTGAGGTGAGGCCTTCCAGTGGCCCAGAGGGGCACAGTTCGAGGGGTCCTATTCAAAAGATCTTATCTGCGCGTTACGCCCAAGACAATCTTATCTCCGCGTTCCCCCAAGACAATCTTGTCTGGTCGTTCCCTGGAAAAGACGACCTATCTGCAAATGGGTTAATCCCGGGTAATTGGAAGTAAAGGTTTGATGTGGCCGCACAAATCAGAGAATCAACGCACATAAAATTGATAGTCATTTCTGAACTTGTTGAACTTTGCTCTTTAAATCGGTATGAGTGTGTAAGTGTCAGACAAATTTTCCATTTACAGTGATAGGAGGGAAACTGAAGGGGCGATCCCGAGGCACGCATTGGGCCCGTTTCTCAGCCTCTATTGGTGGACTGAGTGTGTCAAACAGGAGAAAAGGAAGAAGAGTTACTGAACTGTCAAAGATTCTGTCTTAATCATGTTTGACAAGAAAAAAAAGTACAAAATATAATTTGTAAATGAGATTCTCACAGAACAAATGTGAGACATTAATAAAATATGAAAACAAAAAAATAACTAAATTAATTAACAATTAAATTCAGTAACAGAGAATAAATAACTTGGATGCTACTGTTTGAAATACAAAATTATCTTCTTTATTTCTTCTTCTGCTTTTATTTTTGGGTTTTCTTTGGTGGTTGTTTAGGTGGCTGTTTCTTCTTGGATTTCTTGGCCCTACTGTTTCCTTGAAAGGCTGATGATGAGGGCTCATCCACATCTGGTTCTGAATTATTGTTGTGACCACCTTCAGCTGGTTCGAGTGGTTCAGGCTCAAGGGGGTCTGTGAGCAGTCCATCACAAAAAGCATGGTGGCATGTTGGAATTAATCCCTTTCTGCACAGCTTGAGAAGGGGTTCCAGTTTTGCCTTTGAAACCATGTAACAATCTGTAGACTGAGGGAGCATTGACAAAGTAGCCCAGTTTACAGGGCGCCCTCTCTGATTGGCCAAATTTAGAGTATGAGGCTCTTGATCAAAATCATATTTCACTTGCAGTTTATTTGGGAGAGCAAAATCTGCAACAATTTCTCTTAGCTCAAGCCACCTGATTTTCTCACCAGTGGTGTCTTTTTCCCACGCTGTTTCATTTTGAATGAGTGGCTTGATGTCTAATATGTCACTTAGTTCCAATTCTTTTACAACATATTTTTTGCTGTTTGATTGGGAGGTTTTGATGATAGTTAGCCACTCACTAGGTGCATAAATGTCCACATCTCTTGAGGCTTTCTCAATCACGATGTGCATATTGTCCCCTTCTGAGTGGGTGTGCCCTACCTCCAGGAAGCGGTGAACAATGCAAATCTTGAATTTTGCACACAAATGCAGCCAAAGGGCAAAAATAAATCTATTTTTATTTTGACCTGTGCAGTTGTCGCTATAAAGGCGAAATTCGGTCACACCCTCGCTGACTTTGTTCAATATAAAATCAGACATACTACTTCCAATTTTATTAGCGCCCTTTCTTCCCAGCGTCTCATTCCAAAAGTAGCAATACCCTTGAACTTTGGGTATCTCAAACACGGTGAAATTGTAGCAAGCAATTTTACTTACATAGTAGAAGGAAGAAGTTTTCCCAAAGGGCACAGATAGAATTTTCTCCAAGTCAAGTGATGCAACACATACGGAATTAGATTTGGTCTCCAAAACTTCCTGCTTGTCTTTTTCTTTGATTGCTTGCGCTTCCAGTTTGCGCTTCCAATGAAGGTCAAAGCTTTCCTGGAGTTTCTCCTTCTCTTCAACTGTCGCGTTCCTGAATGCAGTGCAGTTATCACATTGGTCCTTACGTGGCTTGAAAAAAGCAATGTTAAATTCAGTATTGAACAAATCCCTATACTGGCGTTCAGTTGCCACATCAGTCCTATTTATATCTTTCATGTACTCCTTGTAAAGCTCATGCATCTTTCTAGAATTCAGATTTTCCTCCAGATATTCCTTGTGTGTATCTTTCCTGCAGTAGTGGGAAGGTACTCTTGGAAATAAGTTGATATGATCTCTTATGCTTTGCTTTTTTTGTTCTGAAATTCTCTTGAAGTTACATTTGGTCTTTCCTCTTTTGTCTGGAGAGTATGTTTCTTTCTTCTTGCAAGCGGTCTTGACAGTCTGTTCCGATATATCCAAAGTTGACAGGAACATTTTCTTGCAAACTCTGACTTCTTCTCAAAAAAGTATTTATAACTATTTTGCCTATTAGTTTCCCAGTCAGTTGTTTTTCTAGCTGTTTTGGAGCTGTGAATATGGTTACCAATAAAAGTCCACTGTGCCAATCGTTTCCCTAATTTGTAATATTTATAAAATATAGCTTGCCTATTCTCCATGGATAATTGAGGTTTTGTTTGGCACTCAAATCTGCAATCTGCTGAACAACCTCAGCCCATTGATCGAGCTCTTCTTGGCTGTTTGTCGCCAGGGCGGGGGGGGGGGGGGGGGGGAGGGGGGGGGCGAGAGGCAGGAGAGGGGCAGCCAGCCGTCCTGGGCGTGCCGGCCTCCAGTCCCATTCATTCTGCGCCTGAGGTCCACCCTGCTCACCCTGCCCAGCCCCAAGTGATTGCGCTGTCATGTCTCTCGCCGCCGACGTGTGGTCCCAGCTGCTGGACGCCCTCCGTGCCGCCCCGCCCGGGACCCAAGGTGAGTGTTTATTGCCAAGTGCCAAGTGCACTCCAGCCCAGAGGCCCAGAGTCCAGCATCGCTGATCCGGCCCCTGTGTTTACAGTGTTCATCTCGGTCCCGAGCGGCGTAAACACGTGGGGGCATCCGACTTCGCCGGGCTCTCAACGGGACGCCCAACGCCTGGGTAACTTCGTGCTGGGCCTCGACCGTGACCCCTTCTGGGCCAGTTCCTTGCTGGCGTGGCTCCTGAGGGAGTCTGATCACCTTCGTGAGTACCTCCGGCGCCTGCTCCGGTCCTCACCCCGCCCCCCGGCCCTCCCTGACTGTTGTTGTTTGTGTGTGCAGCGTACACAACACCCATGGCCGCCTTGTGGGAGTGGGCAGTGGAGCGACTAACGGCCTGCGACCCACCCAGTGACGACGCCGGTGGGTCCCCAGGGGTCCCTCCCCCGGGGCCCCCTCCAGGTCCTCCAGGCGGCGCACCTCCGGCGCCCTCCTGCCCCCTCGCCGGGCCCCAGTCCGTCTCCGCTCCAGCCGCTGGGCCCTCTGCTGCGGGCGTGCCCGGGATTTTCCCCCTGTCGGCAGCTCCGCAGCCCGGGCCCTCCAGCTCGCCCCAGGCCGGGCCCTCCAGCTCTCCCCAGGCCGGGCCCTCCACTCTCCCCAGGCCGGGCCCTCCAGCTCGCCCCAGGCCGGGCCCTCCAGCTCGCCCAAGGCCGGGCCCTCCAGCTCGCCCCAGGCCGGGCCCTCCAGCTCGCCCAAGGCCGGGCCCTCCCGCACCACGTCGACTCCCCCCAGCCGCGCCCCTCACGCTGGGGCGTGTGGCCGCCCCTGGCATGGGTCACAAGCTTCCCCGTGGTCCGAGGCAAACGCCCTGCGCAGCTGGAGCGACAGTGACTGTAGTGTCTTTAACCCGGACAGTCCCTGCCACTGTTTTCGCGTAGTGGAGGTCCCCAACCCGCGTGACGTGGCCAGAGAGGCCGCGGCGGCCGAGCATGCCGCCGCCACCTACAACGCCTATGCTGCAGAGCAGCTGGCCCTCCACGCCGTCCAGGAAAACTCCTGTACCTGCCACTGCGACTGTTACTGTTCCGACTGAACAGTGTCCTGACCGCCACCCCCTTTTTTTTTCCTAGCTTCCTAAGTGTAAGGCCCTATTATTTACTTTGTTTTGCTTTGTTTGCTTATCGCTCACCTGGCCAATAAACCTTTTATTTTAGTTCTTCAATCACTTATCCTTATTTCTTCTCCTTTGGCTCCTCCTGCTCCGTCCCCGCTCCTCCAGGTTGGGCCTTGAGGTCCTCGCTGTGCCTTGTCCTCCCTCCTTGTTGTGGTGGTCCTGCACTCCGTCCCCCAGGCAGGTTGGTTTCTTCGCTGTCACCCTCAAGCCATGCAATTGGATAGCCAGCATTATACCACACTCACTTCCTTAGTTCGCCTGCGACTCGTTCGCGTTCGGCGCTTAGCAGGGGTGCAGGCAATCATGCAACTAGCGTTCAAGCGGAAGCTGAAAGCCCTTAATCTAATTAACTTATTTGCCGCCCCCTCCCAGGAGAGATCGCGTGGACATTCCGCCACGATCCTGGGAGGCTAGTCCTCCCACGACCGCCTCTCCCGTGAATAGCTTAACAGCAAACATTGGTAATAAATTAACGGCGTTGACCGGACAGTTTTTGTAGAGTGTGGTCTCAATCGAAAAAGGAGGTCAAAATGAGGCGACTCCCCAAGATTGAACTCTCTGTGACAACGGGAAGGCCATTTTAAACCTTGCAAAAGTGTCAAAATTTGACACTGTTTTACGGGAGGGGTGGAAAAAGACGCAAAGGGGTGGGTTTCGTTGATGCAACTTTGGGGACGTTTACCCAAGACTTTGGCCCATCTCCCCTCAAAATTTCAAGTTTCTAGCTCAATTCTAGCAAGAGTTATGAAAAAAGGAAAAAGTGGGGCTTAAATTCTGACGGCCAGTGTATCTATACACATCGCTGCTTCCCTTCTTCCCCGTTCAGACATGGAACCAATTTGTCCCACGTGGGAAGACTTCCAGAGCTTCAACGGCTTTGTCAAGCACACTCCCAAGATCCTACTGAGCTTTTTCTTCGTAATACGAACAAAAAGCTTAGTATTATGACAGCACAGCGAAGGTAGTAACGTATGGTGAGGGGTTCTCAGTAACTTACGACCAGTTTCTTAGTATTACAAACAAATTTCTTTGTATTATAATAGATTTGTGTCGTAGAGTACTGAGAATTAGCTTAGTATTATGACAGCACGGCATTTCTCAGTAGGAAATTGGGAGTGCAACATGAGACACAGTTGGAGGAATGCGGCTTTCTTCTGGTGCGAACAAAGCAGGATGGCCTCACAAGTTTTTCTTTTAATTTTTTAAGCTAAAGAGCAAACACATATCTGCTGGTTTTTTTTTCAGGTCAATCCTCCTCAAGAGTGGAAAAAATTAATGACGAACAGCAGTGAAGCCTTGCAAAGGTTCACTTTCACACCCCGCACTGTGACATTACAACCCAACAGAGAACACAGCGGTTTCCAAGTCATGACTGCAAGGCATTTGAGTCACGAAACAGTTAGTGAATTCCGAGAAAGATGCGCAAAGCAGTAAGTTGTACCACAATGGGAACACCTCTTTAATTGCTTTTTTTTTTTTAGAAAAAAGCGCCCATTTAAAAAGAATACAAAATGTTTCCACAGGTATGACACCCCTATTTTCAAGACTTGCCAGGAATTTCTCGAAAACAGCCCCTGCAAAGCAGAGATGGGAGTTGACTTACGGTTCAAGCTGTATCCTCCCAGCCTCAAAGTAACGACAACCATAAATTGTTGTGTGGCTTCATTTCATACTTAACATTATACTAAAATTGATATGTTTTTGTCTGTCATTTTTCACCTTTCAGGTGTGGAACTTGGAATGTTTGGGTGATCCTATGTCCAACGCCCAAAAACAGGAAAGAAACATCCCAGGGGTGACATCACCGTTCTTGACCATTGCTTCCTCTGGGGCACCCTTCGCCCTGAGGACCGAAAAACACAACCTTGGCTCAATTTATTACCTTCATGAAGGAGAACCAAGAGAATGGTAAGCAGCTCCTGCAATCAAATCATCAAACTCATCACGCTCAAGATTATGTAACCAAAATATGATTTCCTTATTGAAACAATTTTCTGGTGAATGCCCTTGGATTTTCAAATGAGTGGGCTCTTCCACTTTACAAGCCAGGTGACCTTTGAGTTTTTAAGGGAACTACATCAAAGTGACAAACTCACTTTCTCTCATGATTGTACCAGCAGTTTTGTTGGAACAAAATCATCAATTCCATTAGGCAAGTTCTAAACTCCTCTTTTTCAAAAACTCTCTCGTGTTCAAAAACTTAAGGGGGGACATCACTCCAAAATGATCAAACATTGCAACTTTTTTTTATTATTTTATATTATAGACCATTCCTTTCTGCGTCGAATGGTGAAAACCGCATTCCGGAATTCAAAAAATTGCAGTTTTAGTAGGTTGTGGGCCGCAAACATGCATAGGGGAAAAGCCCAGTTTCCCCAACTTTGATCGCGTTATTTTCGGAACATGAAATTGCAAACGGTTGCAGGCCTCTAGGGGGCAGTTTTTGAGCTACAGAGGGGAGATTTAGCATGGAAGCTCCTACGACATGCCGCTATGGTGGGTAGCAAAATATTTTGCATTGGTCAATATTTATTATTTTTTTTTAATGTTCAAAATTAAACAATTTTGACCAAAAAAATTGAACAATTTTTTTTTTGGTATGTGACAAATACAACTTAAAGATTTTTGAAATGTGATTGAGGTACACACAGTAAAAAAAGATTCGCTGTTTTGGTGGTCGTTCTATATCCAATCTCACCGAAACGGGTACCCCTACAAACCCGGCGACGGTCTGTCACCAAAACGGTGACCTGCGTCACCAGGTGGTGTTCCGCCAGAGAGGTTAGGATGACCACAACAACTGTTTTTGAGCTGTTTGTGCATATTTGTGCGTGCCCGCCGGCAACGTTACGCTTTGATGAGTCACGCGAATGATAACTGACAGCCCCTGACTTGTTTTGTGTCCTATTTCACATTAATACGACGATTAAAAGTCGCTGGCGGGAGGGTGACTGCAGTGCCGTTCTGGTGAGGTGGCCGCTCCGGAACGGACCGAGCGCCACCGAAACTAGACCGAGCGTCGCCGAAACGAACAGAGGGCCGCCAGAACAGTTTGAGGGTGTTGCTGTTCTTGTAATATTCTCGTTTTGGCGCCCAGACGTCACCGAATCGGCGAATCTTTTTTTACTGTGTGGGGGCTCCGCCCCCCAGACCCCCTTCCTTCAAGACAGAGGTGATCTACCTGCAGAAAACTCGATTTTCGCCGTTTTTTTAGGTGTTTTTCGGCTATAAAACCTGAACCAGTTGAGCTAGGATAGTGACATTTCGCGTGTGCCGAGCCAAGAACATACCTAATAAGCCTGCAAAATCTCAGCCAGATCGGCCGAGCCGTTCAGGAGGAGAAGTGTACACACACACACACACACAGACAGACACACTGTTAAAAAAAATTACTGAAAATTCATAATTTTTTGTAAGAAGTCGATTTACTTACATTCAGTCTGAATTTTCATACCAAAATTTTCATACTTCGAGGTCTTAAATTTTCAGACGACGTTAGTCTGAATTTTCAGATCAATTTGTTGTATGAAAAATGATACCAGTCAGTCCGTTTTATCAGACTAAATTGTACGAAGAACATAAACAGTCGCACCAATAAATGCCTCTTATATAGTGGAGCCCAAATCGGCTAACTTTTGCCGTTAGTTTGTAGTAGACGCTCTGCAGATCGTCTCGAGGCAAAAATCAGGTAGACGGTAGCAGCCATCTCCTTCCCGAGGTAGTGGAGAGTCTAATGGAGACTGCTGAAGTCCGAGGGTGAGCGGCCTTAGCCCAACCACGCGTCGACCCGTGGCCATGCGCGAGAGGGAAATTGTATTCTCTGTTATTTAGCTTATATTGCACATATTAACATCAATCTTGCTTTGGTGCGCTCATGCCCTTTCAGACAATCATTTGGAATGAGTTTGTAACAAAATATTCACCCATTTTCGCCTTCAAGAGGCAATTTTAGCTCCGAAAGATCAACCATGCGACACTAGCGCCACCTAGCGGATAGAGCAATAAGTATCCATTTCGGAGCTCTGAAACATTCTGTTTGCTCTTACGACACTAAACGTAAATATTATTTGAAATACAACAGAAGTATTGATAAAATTCTTGAGAAAGCCGAAAAATGTAGAAAGTGGACGGCGTTTTTTCACCAGTTTTCCGACTTCACAAGTATGAATTTAGTTTTCGGACGACAATGTACAAAACTTGATAGCCATTGCTTTAAATATTCAGACTTGCTAGTCTAAATTCAAATTTCAGACTACAGGTAACACTTTTTGGACCTTTAGTCTTAATATTCGTACCATTTTATGAATTTACGATTCAGACCACCAAGTAAGACGAAATCAGTCTGAATTTTCATATTTTTTTTAACAGTGCAGACAAAACTTTTCAACCGCACTGGAGTAACGGGCTTCGCTATCGCTCAGCCAATTACTTACTGTGGTTTTTTTTATTTGGTTAGTTAATGTTACTAACAAATAAACCATGCGTTTGAAACATTACCGTTAAAACTATACCCATATCTATTCAGGTTGATAAATAACGGTTAATTGCTTTTAACGTTAATTCAGAATAACGGTTATTAAACTTATCCTAAATCATTGGAGAAACATTTATAACGTTATTTGTGGCCTATCGTTTTAGGTTTAAGTTCATATCAACAACATCAAAACCGTTTCGATTTAACGATATTTTTTGTATTGCCCGATGTGCTTCTATTTTCCTCCTACTCTGCCCCGCGTCCCGTGTCCCTCACACCGCGTAGCTACGCGCAGCCACGCCGCGTCTGCCGCGTTGTCGTGGACGCAATTTCTCATAGGTCAGCCTCTAGCCTCGCTTCGCTAACCCGCCAAGCGTGTATACTCGAATTTTCAAATGTTGTGTGGAGGTTGAGAATGGTTTGTGAAACGTATGGATACGCGCAGGACGATGCGCCGGCACCGGGGAGCCGAGCGCCGACCCGAAGTGCCGGTTCGGCGCTCGGCGCTCGGCACTTCGGTTCGGCGCTCGGCTCGGAGGCGGGAAGATGCGCCTGATTATTGCTATTCGGGCGAATGGGAATCTTTCAAAGGAAAATGAGGATCAGAACCGGAGAAGTCCCAAAATCACGAAATTTCGAACCATTTACTGGCCAATACAGGCGCAGCCTGCGGCCATAAAAGAAGAGTCTCTCGCGAACCATTTATGCCCCAAGTTGTCTTCAGTCGACAAGTTGTCTGGAAATCTAGTGAAAATGTGTGTTTACCTCATATTAACCTTTCTTTTGGGTATTGAGCTTTTAATTATGACTGTTTTGTTGCTGATGCTGAGTAATGTACTAGCGGTATGTATGTATTGGTTAAGTGACATAACTGTTCACCACCTCACTTTACTTCAAATCACATCAAATATGTATTTACGATAAAAAAAATATTGAATAAAACAATTCAAACATTCATAAAATGTAACAAGTATTATCTCTCAAGGAGGCCAAGAACATTATTGGAGTTTCTGAACTCAAGTCATAGTACAACAAGTACAAACAATTGCTCCAATCAAAATTATAAAATGAATAATCGACACAGCATTTAGGACTTAAGAAAACACATAGAATAATGTGAATAGAATATAACATTAATTAAATCAACACTGCACTTAGGACTTAAGAAAACACATAGAATAATGTGAATAGAATATAACATTAATTAAATCAACACTGCACTTAGGACTTAAGAAAACACATAGAATAATGTGAATAGAATATAACAGTAATTAAAATCAAATATGCAATAAATTACATATACATACATATACAATCAGAAATAAACATGATCTGTTTCCATTTGGCTTGAAATATTCAAAAATTTCTTTGTTGTGATAATCTTCATTTTGGAGCACTATTTCCATCAGAACTTTCTGGGCGTCACCTGGTTTTACAAGTGCTCTTGTCTGTTTTTTGCAAACTTTCTTGGTTGATTTAAACTTTCGTTGAGGGCTAACTTTTTTTGTTGCAGGTTGCTGTGCCACCTCAGGAAAGCTAGGCAGGATGGAATCTGGAGTCTTAATCACTTCTTGCAGAAATTTAAGAAGGCGATCAGCACCAGATATTGCTCTGTCCATTTTGTCTTGTGGAACCTGAAGTGCCAATCCAGCAATCATCTGAATTGTAGACTTCAGTTTGGTGGCCTTGGAAACTCCGTCTCTAAAATTTTCATGGTGAGCAGCTTCTGTGACAATTGCCTGAACTTCTTTCTCCTTAATTTTGTTGGCGATTGGTTCAAAGGATTTTAATGTGGAATGGACAATGACGGCATGGATGTGTTTGCAGATGTTGAGCTTTATGAGATGGTCTTCGCAAGTGCAGGAGACCTGATGGACACACTTCTGGCACTGTGGGCAATGGAGAGGACAGCCTTCACACAGATCTTCAGTCATATTAACAGTGTATGGCCCTCTTGTCCGAACTTGAGATTTGACCGTCCACTCTGCATGATCTACTTGCTCAATAAATTCTGGTGGGATCTGTGCACCCTTCTTATGGCTCTGTGTTATTGCTAGCATCCTAGATGTTGGCTTTTGTTTGTGGTGCCTAATCAGCCGTTCAAATAGGAGGTTCTTTGTAAGCTGAAGTAGAGCAGCAATACAATTGTCAATTCTCCTGTTGCATTTTCCATCAAAGTAGCAATACTTTAATTTTTTGTGCAGAGCTTCTAAATACATATTTGTATTTAATCCAAGTTTCTGACGATGACTGTAGGCCCACATGTTGATGCGGTTGGCATAGTGCTTTCTAAAATACCTCCCAAATTCATTGGTCTCTTCATCGCTCTCACACAGTTGAATGAAGTTTACGATCAGTGATTCAAGTCTCTCAGGATCTTTGCACTCAAGGAGTACTCTGCACCCTTTATAAACTTCTGGAGCTTTAACGTCATTCACTTTTTGTTTGAGCTGTGTTCTCCAAGCCCTGTCAACATGCCATGTGCACAATAGGCGATGTCTGGCAGGTCCCATTACGGCTGCCCATGCATTGTAATAGGCAGGATAATCATCGGACATGAAGATGTTGGTTGAAATGGATGTGCCCAATCTTCTTTTCACCGCCTCAAAGAAGACAGTCATGCTGTCAGTGTCAATCCTGTTACTAATGCAATAAGCGCCTGGACACCCAGCTCCGAACTCATCTACAGTCATAAGGGTGGTTAGTTGAAAGTCATATTTGTTCGTTCCGTGTGTGCTGTCAATTAGAGTCTTGTCTGTGCTATACGTTTGGAGGATCTCCTTCTGATAGTCAGTCATTAGTACAACCATGAAGTCGTCTTCTGCCAGTACGCCACATGGATCTACTTCGTGCTGTCGTTTGTAGTAAGCCACAATGTTGTGATCTTTTGCTTGCTGCTCTGCTACCCACATATCAACACTCATTGCGTCATTATCATGCGCTCTGTTCTTATCAAGCTTGAATTCCTTAATGACGTTTAACAAATCTCGCTTGTCCAGCAGATGCAGTCTTGATAATCCTCCTTCTTCGGTAACACTGTCTCTTATATCATCAAGGATGTCATTCATGGGAACTTTTGATTGTAGTTTTGCAGCAAGCATGGCCCTTTCATTTTTGTTGAGTCGCAGGTGGCCCAAATCAAAATCATGCCCAACATGATCCTTGTGGTGCACTACTGATACTTTTCCATTGACTTCTGTTACAGTAATTCGAGCAGGGCAGTAACGCTCAATTTTTGGTGATTCCTTCCATCGGATCCTATCTGGAGCTTCTACCTTCCTTGAGTTTCCAGACCTGTGGCAATAATAATATCTTCTTTCTCCATGATCGAGCCTCCTTGCACCTTCATGCTGAATATACAAAGAGTTTGTTCCTCTCTCCATTTCTTCTTTCCAAACATAGAAATCTGTGGTGGGATAAAAAAAGTTGTTGTGTAACTAATGAATAAAGTTACATTTTAACAAAGAAACAAAAAAGTGTTTTCCTTACCATCAATTCTCTGAAAATTCATTTGAGAAGAAGATAAGTCATTACTGTGGTCATGTTTCAAATGCATATCCATGCTTGTGGATGAGGGAAACATAACGTCACATGATGGACAGAGGAGCTTTGATCTTTTTGTTTGTGGCTGAACTTTGTGCTGCTCTCTTAGGTGACGATTTAGTACTGAGATACTGGAGAACACTTTATCGCACACATAGCAAACTTCACCTATCTTTTCCTCACTTGGCGGATCACAATCATGCTTTGTGCGCATGTGCCTATACAGGCTTTTCTTATGCACATAGGTCGAGTCACACCTGACACAAGAAAAACGAATATGATATAAGGTATAGAGAATCATCTGAGAACAACAATTACGAAGGAGAGATAAAATATCTTGAACGCCAGGGCCTGATTAAAAATTACTCACAAAGAACACTTCACAGCAGACATCTTGGCACTAGGACAGGTGGAACACAAGTGGGACACATTGGCGCGGTTTTGCCGCCGATTTCTTGTTTTCATTACCAACTTAAATGTATTCCCTCCCGATCTCTATGCGAAGGCGGTGTTGGCAATACCGCGCATCGTTTTAAATTTTCGCGCGCGCGCTGGTTTCGTGTCTCGGCAGGCTTTTCGCCTTCCCCGCCAGGGGCGCCACGGTGGGCCTCCGAACCGAAGTGCCGAGCGCCGAGCGCCGAACCGGCACTTCGGGTCGGCGCTCGGCTCCCCGGTGCCGGCGCATCGTCCTGCGCGTATCCATACGTTTTGTGAATCGTGGTGTACCCAGGCCCCAGGGGTACTCTAGCATAGCAACTGTAACTATGTATTATAGTAAAGAGAAAAACCATATCGCAACTGAACGACTTGTGTAAGTGTAACGTTAGACTGACTGCTGCCGTGGCCGTGTGAGTCGAGTAGTCAACTACACTTCCTTTGAGAAGAAACATAAAGATTTCATTAAGGGGAGGTTCTGGTGAAAATGCTATTTTCTCCTAAGTAGGTCCCACTGTGAAAATTTGTTAAAAATTTAATGTCTTATCAAGTATTTATTAAAATTTTTCATTGGGGAGGCACATTCTATGCCCTGAATCCAGTCGCAGAGCCTTTTTCTCCCATTTAGGCTATAACTTTAAAAATCTTCTTGCGCATACTATTTTGTCGTAAAAGGTTGGCTTAGACATTTTTCACTTCTTCGATTCATTTTTTAAAAATGCCGGCATGCCCATCTCAAAATGTCAATTGCATTTTTATTCGCAAGCTTTCTAACCAAGCATTTCACTAAAATTGATAAAAAATGTACAAAATAGACAAATTTTAGGGACTTTTCAGCTTAAAAAGCTAATAATTAATAATATAATGGAAGTTTTGAGCTATGCATGCCAGAATCTTTTGAAAATGAGTCGAAGAAGTGAAAAATGTCAAGGTCAACCTTTTACGACAAAATAGTATGCGCAAGGAGATTTTTTAAGATACAGCAAAAATAGGCTCAAAAAGACTCTTCGACTGGGTTTACAGCCTGGCATGTGCCTTCAAAAGTCAAATTTTAGTCTCCCCAATGAAAAATTTTATATTCCCAACAAATTATGACTGTAGGATCCATTTGGAAAATGGCAAGATTTTCACCAGAACCTCCCCTTAAACTGATTAAACTGAGGTACGTATTACTCTACAAATCAAAGAGTGTACATGGTACGCTCTAACTGGAGCATGCCTGCAAGCACGCTCCAACTAGCGCATGCCTGCCAAGCATGCACTAACTAGTGCATACATGCCATGTACACGCTAACTGAAGCATACATTTACTGCATAAGGGATATGGAGTTTTCTGCATCAGGAAGCGTGTACATGGCATGTATGCACTAGTTAGTGCATGCTTGGAAGGCATGCGCTAGCTAGAGCGTGCTTGCAGGCATGCTCCAGTTAGAGCATACTATGTACACTCTTTGATTTGTAGAGTTCAAGGTAGGTGTACGCCAGACCGTGTCTTGTCGTAACAGGCTTCGCGATGCTGCGCCAGTTTCGACCATCCACGCCTGGCGTATACACCTACCTTGGCCTGCGGCGCTAACCTGCCTTCGGCAGGCTGCTTCCCTGGGCACACCGTGGAAATGGGCGTGATCCCCTCAAAAATAGCATTTGGTCATCAAAATCTACACAAGAGCGATTCTCACGTTTCGGGGTAGTTTTGGCGTCTCTGATTTGCCGAAAGTGAGAAATATCCAATTAAGTTTTTCTGATTATTGGGGTCCTGGATGATACTAGAGTTATGGCAATGGTATTTATAGTAAAGACCTTGTACTATCTTCCTAAAAACATGAGCCATAAGGTATTCCCATACGTTTTAGTGGGTGTTTTGATCACGGAAATTACGTTATCACGGAAGTTACACAGTGTGAAAATCAGCTTTAACGGCTGACTCGGGCTTGCTGTGGCTTAAAAGTCGTTCCAGGGTCAAATGATGCTCTAAGCCCGACATTTCAGCGGAAAATTTTTTCACCTAGTGCTGCTGCAACATTGGGTAAAGGGTGCCACGGAAGTTACAGGTAATTGTTGATACACGCCATTTTATTGGCTGAGCGACAGCGAAGCCTGTTACTCCAGTGCGGTTGAAAAGTTTTGTCTGTCTGTCCGTCTGTCTGTCTGTCTGTCTGTCTGTCTGTGTGTGTACACTACTCCTCCTGAACGGCTCGGCCGATCTGGCTGAGATTTTGCAGGCTTATTAGGTATATTCTTGGCTCGGCACACGCGAAATTTCACTATCCTAGCTCAACTAGTTCAGTTTTTATAGCCGAAAAACACCTAAAAAACGGCGAAAAATCGAGTTTTCTGCAGGTAGATCACCTCTGTCATGAAAAAAGGGGGGTCTGGGGGGCGGAGCCCCCCAGCCTCGACAAGTTAAAAAGTTACAAGGGTCAAGATCGTGTTATCTGTAGATGAAGCAACTCTTTCTAGAATAAAGGGGGGTCTGGGGGGCGGAGCCCCCCAGCATGCAACACGTAAAAAGTAACCGACGATGGACAAGCCAATGCCTGCCGAAGGCAGGCTAGCGCCGCAGGCCAAGGTAGGTACGCCAGGCGCGGATTGGAGGAACAGGCCGCGAGATATCGCGAAGCCTGTTACGACGCGGTCTGGCGTATATCTACCTTGTAATGCTCTAGCCCGCTTTGAGACCGTGTACAGCATCTTAGATTTCCGCGACCCATGCAATTATATCCCAGGGACTCCACTTTAATGGCTTGTGTCATGGAAAGTTAAAAGTTTGGCTTGGGGAGAAGTCCAGAGCTGCCTTTTCGAAATTTGTGTAGTTAAATTGAATATACGGAGGACATTTTTCGTTGCAGCATAAGTACCTTTGAAAGAAGTCTGGCGTATTGGTCTTCGGTTGAAATTAGCCCGAGACATGCCAAGCTTCGAATCCCCATCGACAGTGGGCAGCATTTTCGAACCACACCGCCACACTGGGGGCGGAAAGTTCGAGTATGTTCTCTTTGGACAATCACGGAAGTTACATTTGAGGTATTCCAAACGCTACGTAGACGAATCCAACGAACGAGAACTTTTCGAAATGTGTGCGTTTAGTGGGCAATGGCCCTCCCTAACATCAGAAACAAACCCCATGTCGATATCTGCGCTCGTTTGGGCACAGGAGTCAGAAGAAACGAAACTACCCCGAAACGTGAGAATCGCTCACCAATCGGATTCAACTTTCGGTCGGGGTTCCGAACGGGTTCTATTTTCGTCATCAGCAGCCTCAAAAACATATGAAACGATATGAAACGTGACACAAAGTTGAAAGTACCTAAAAAGTTGTCTTTTTTGCCGTTTTTTAAGTGTTTTTCTGGCTAATATGACCGAATGGATTGAGATAGAAAGCTGAATTTTGGTGTGTGGCGAGCCAAGGACATACCTTATGACCCTGCAAAATCTCAGCCAGATCGGCTGAGCCGTTCAGGAGGAGTAGTGCACACACACACAGACAGACAGACAGACAAAACTTTTCAACCCCACTGGAGTAACGGGCTTCGCTATCGCTCAGCCAACTATTTGCTAGTTTAGACTTTTGATTTCTGGTTCATGTACTTAGAGAGGAAACAAACGACAAAGTTTCCTATTTTATCAATCATCCTTTGGGAGTAGCTTTGATAAATGACTGGTATAAATTATCATACACTGTATTGGTGTTCATAATTTTCTTTACAATTCACTTCATAATAGACTAATGAACTAAAATAAACTCTGAACAAAGACAACGAACATAACCTAACAAGGTAGGTTTACGCCAGACCGCGTCTTGTCGTAACAGGCTTCGCGATGTCTCGCTGCCTGTTTCTCCAATCCGCGCCTGGCGTACCTACCTTGGCCTGCGGCGCTAGCCTGCCTTCGGCAGGCAATGGCTTCTCCATAGTCGATTTTCCTAACTTGTTGCATGCTGGGGGTCTCCGCCCCCCAGACTCCCCTTCGTTCTAGATGGAGTTGCTTCATCTGCAGATAACGCGATCTTGACCCTTGTAGCTTTTTCACTTGTGCTGGCTGGGGGGCTCCGCCCCGCAGACCCCCTTTCTTCAAGACAGAGGCAATTTGCCTACAGAAAACTCGATTTTTCGCCGTTTTTTAATTGTTTTTCGGCTTTAAAAACCAAACCAGTTGAGCTAGGATGGTGAAATTTCGCGTGTGCCGAGCCAAGGACATACCTAATAAGCCTGCAAAATCTCAGCCGGATCGGCCGAGCCGTTCAGGAGTAGTGTACACACACACAGACAGACAGACAGACAGGAAAAATTTTCCAACCCCACTGGAGTAACAGGCTTCGCTATCGCTCAGCCAAAAAAAAGTCAGTCTTATGAGTCATACTCAAGTTAAAAAACTAGACATTGAACCAAATTAACAAACCAAACATAAGCAATTTATGTTAGACCCAAATCTTTCAACAAGTTAATTAACATAGCCTGAAATAAGAGTCAGTCATATAAGTCATCAGATCAAAAAATTGTTCACAAAATTAACATGAAATTAACCAACCAAACATAAATAATTTATGTTAGACCAAACAAGTAATTGTTCCCATTACTTTTTTTTCTTTTTCAGCAGGTCTGGCTCTAATTCAGACAACACATCGCCGTTGGCGTGCAGGAAAGCCACGTCATCCACATGCTGTGCTGAGAGGTTGTACTATGGTGTGCAAAAGAATCCGACCCCCCCGGTGGCGATACTCCGCGCGCGAGGTCGTTGTAAGGTGCTGCCCCCTGGCAGCAGTTGTCTGCTGACAACGCCTCGTCCGCCCACTAACAGAATTTAAATCGTCGCAATTCGTTATATTAAAGGTATTGCAGCCCAAGAACGGGCTGGTTCGATTCAGAAACATTGCAGAAATCGAGCCGGCAACGCAAAACGGTAAGATGACAACTCATCAGATAAAAAAATGATAAGTTACCCGTGGTAAGGTTATGAGCGGCCCTGACGTCATCAGCTTCGTCAAAACTTCTTGCAAAGTATAATGAATATCCCGTATAGAATGGGTTGACCGCGACCACCAGAGAAGTTCCGGAACTCCCAGAACTCTCCCAGTCTCAGAAGAACAAAGGTAAAGGGGCACAATTGAAGCCCGTGACGCGCTGCGCGGGCTCGGAGAGCGCTGGCCTCAACGAAACGAAACCTTAAACCCGTTTACCCCGGGTTTAACGCGCCCCGGGAAGGCCTGTGAGGCACGCCAGCACTCCCCTAGGATAAGGCCAACGATATTAAACGGGTCACGAGGTGCCACGTTGCTGCCCGTGACGCTCTTCGGGGGCTCGGCAGGCGCTAGCCTCAACGAGACCCTAAACCCGTTTACCTCGGGTTTTACGCGCCCCGCGAAGCCCTGTGAGGCTCGCCAGAACTCCTCCAGGCTACGGACAACAAAAGTGAACGGGTCACAAGGTGCCACGTTGCTGCCCGCGCATCACGGGCAGCAACGTGGCACCTTGTGACCCGTTCACTTTTGTTGTCCGTAGCCTCCAGTACTGGGTGTTTTCACGTCAGTCTGATGGGTTGCCGGCCGCTCAGGCGGCCGGCCGCTCGCACGCCACGCGGTGGCGGTGGCGGCAGCCAGTGGCAACTCCCCTTGCCCGGCTGAAACCAGGCTCGGAAGCGGAGCGGCTCCGTTTTCCAACTTTTAAACGAATAAAGCTAATAGAAGCTATTTGATTGCCACATAACGAGTACATCAGGGCAACGTAAAATTTCACGTAGATTACGATTCTGCACTTACATTTGCAAAAGGACGAAGGATTGCGGAAATAATCACGGATTATGTTCATATTGCGGCGTCGGCTCGCTCGTATCAGCTCGTCTCATATTTGCCGAATGTTAATGTAAACAAACTAAAGCAGCTAGAGGAAAACGGTCACTTGCAATCGAAAGATCACACTTTTCCCCTTGGTATTTTGACCATAGCAAAGCTCGAACGCCGGCTAAAACAAGTATTTAAACAGAGAAACAAAACCTGTTCCGGAATTGAGGTTATGTCGGCTCAAATCATTCCCTGTTGTTTCTTTACAGAAATACTTGTTTTAGCGGGCGTTCGCGCTTTGCAATAGTCCCTATACCAAGGAAAAAAATGAGCTTTATTCGTTTAAAAGTTGGAAAACGGAGCCGCTCCGCTTCCGAGCCCGGTTTCAGCCGGGCAAGGGGAGTTGCCACCTGCTGGTGGCGGCCAGACCGCTCAGCGACGCCGGCGGCGGTCGGGCGGGGAGTGGAGTGGGGGTGTTCTCTGACGCGCGCCTTGGAAGGGAAACGTGTGGGAAGGGACATGACAGTCTTGCGAGGGCAGCCGCGGACGCGCGAGGGCGGTTGGTTGTGGGGGTAACCGCGCACCCGATGGGGTAGTCGCGAGGGCTCAGCTGCTGGGTTCTACAAGGGTGCGGCTCGCCAGCGAGCTGGCATCGGCACTGGCGCAGCAGCCAACAGCAGCCGACACCCGCACAGTGGGCCAGAAGACCAGCGCGATTTGAGCCCCAAAGTCGCTAAATAGTACTTCAAATGACCGTGGGTGTCCCCACCAATGGATTGCTCTCTCAAACGAGGAATCCATTGGTGGGGTCACACTTTCGGTTCCAGTCCGATTTGGCGACTCTGGAACTCAAATCGCGTCTGGAGTTTCGGACGCCTGCGCCGGTCTCCTGGCCCACTGTGAGCCACCATGCGATTATTTCCAGGGAAACCTGGTCCAACACTGTGCGCTCCCGCACACACGCTCGCACGCACGCACTCACGCACGCCTCTCTCTCTCTCTCTCTCTCTCTCTCTCTCTCTCTCTCTCAGAAACACACGAAAACACACGCACATACAAACACACACACGCGCGCGCGCGCACTCACTCACTCACACGGTTGACCGGAACTGAATTCGTGCTTGAGTCGAAGCCGCCTCTGTTGACCGAAACAATCAGTGAGGCGCTCTGCCACGCGGTTCATGAAGGGACCGCGACAACGCTCACGCGGTAACTCACGCGGCACGCGGTCACGCTGCCAACCATCCCCGGCCAACGCACATGTTTACAGTCAGAGCACTCTCTCGCTACGCCAATTGTACTCACCTCCGACAAGCGGTGGTCATGGACGCTGGGTAGTCCGGGAACACTTCACGCACCACCGTGGTGACCGCAGTCTTCTTGATGGCGTCCACGCTGGACACGAGGTCCACGTCCTGCTCCCTCGTGGTGGCCCTGGGTCGGCCCGTCTTGGGTCTGGTCTCCAAGCCAGCCAGGCCCTCTTGCTCGTGGCAGCGCGCCCACTCCTTCACTGCAGTCCGCCTGAGGGTCACCTCGGGGTGCGCTAGGATGCGCGTCCAGGACCATCTTTGGGACCGCAAAGTTGCAATGAGCGCCCGCTCAGTGGGATTCGAGTACCCGTCTCGCAACCGAACAGTGGCGCCCACACGTGGGTGCAGGGTCTGCGGCCGCAGACCCTGATTTGGGGTGGGTGGGTGGTTGCAGTGGCGGGTGAGGGAAGGGGAAAAGAGAAGGGGAAAGGGGAGAAAAGGGAAAGGAGGGGAAGAAAAGAAAAGAAGGCAAGGAAAAAGAAGAGAAGGCAAAAAAGGGAGTTGTAAGGGGCTAGATATCAGTCGCTCCCCCTAAATGAGATTTCTGTGGTCGCCACTGCAACCGAATCATGTTGACCCAAACACTGAACTCGACTGAACTGATCCAACCGCGGTGCACTGGCCGGTTCTATGCTCAAATACAACGTTGCCAGATTTCTGCCAATCTCAATGACAAATTTAAAACAAAACATTTTTTTCACGCGCTGCAGTTTTACACGTGAGCAAGACGAGAGCAATTTTGTGTTTGCAAGTATCGCGTTATTTTCCGTTAATTAGTATGTTTTGAAAGTTTTGCTAGTGTGTCTATGGGTGGTCAAACCGGCAACGTCGCGTTTCGAACCTGAGGTGAGGGAGGAGTGAAGGGGAGGAGATGACCAGAAGCGGCGTGAGAAAACGCACGTCAACAAATGCGACGCGTTTCGGAGGCATCCCTAGTCAGCCGCCGACGGAGCGCTGAGCCGCCGAGCCGAGCGGCAGCGCCAGCCAGCGCCAGCCAGCGCCAGCGCCGATCCGGCAGTCTTGGCTCGAACGCGTGTGAGTGAGGGTGTCTGCATCGTGCATTTATTGCCGTTTTTACGGTTTGTTTGTTAAAGTGACAGAGTGGATTATCAGCGCCGCGTAACGGAACCGATTGGTGAGTACCGTAGAGCGGGGTTATTTGAGACATGAAGGAAAATCGAGACAAAGCGCCCTTTTTTTGGTTTTTGTCGTGTTGCTCTCAAGCGGTTGTTCCGAAGACCATCGTGAATTTTTTTTCGTCATCTAGGAGGCCTTGGCAGCTCACAGGAAACGAACGAAGGCAATCGGAGACTCGCCAGGGCTGTTAAGAACCAAACGAAAATCCTCTAAATTCTGACAAGTTTCAGAAAGTTCGCAAAAACCTCCCCAGAAACCTTGGTTGGAACTCGGGTTCTCGTCCGAACGAGGTTTAAATCTGTTGACAATCATGTTAACATAATCAGGACAAAATTTGGTTCTGTTATGTCTACTCCCGGGCCGCCTGTTCCAGATGGAATACAATTTTGTTACCTTGCATGGAAAATAGAGACACCTCTTTTCGTTTGAAACATGAGGACAAACATACTCCACTGTTATTAATTTCAAGTAATAATGATTTTAACACGAATTGGTTTTACTACCTGACCGGCATCTATGCTCTTCGATTAGTATTTTCATGTGACAGGCACAACTCACGACTTCTTAGACATTTTTCAGCTCTCTTGAGTGATACCCATTTTTCTTCCCTCCAGATTTTATCTCTTCTTCATTATAGTCCCCAATCATCTTAAAAATGAATGAAAAGAACTTAAAAAGCTCCAAACCCGCCTATATGAGTTAATTCTCCATACTTCTTTACCATTTTTCTCTTTTGTCTCATATTACCCCACATTGCAGGGATATATGGGACGGCATTCCGAGGGTTATTGAAAGGTCCCTACTGCACCTAAAAATCTGAAATTTGGAGGGAGTGTAGCCAAAGGGTCAATGAACAAGTGCTGAACACCTCAGCACCTCAAGTTGAAATTAAAAGGGGGAAATTTACAAAAAACCTCGAAATTTGTCTCATATTACCCCGTTCTACGGTATTTGTGCATAATTTGGTTTAGAAAGAAGTGTCGAATATCGTGCTTTCGAAGTAGTTGCGGGTCCTCTCACAAATGCGGGGGGAGGGGTGGACGGGTAGACAATCCGGGAAGTTTTTTTAAATACTCCAATCAACGGCAAAATACGTTACGGGACGGGTCGTGGACAGCAGACGACAGTGGCGCTTCCACTCGGGAGTCAACAAACCCCCCTCCGCCTGGACCCGCCGCCGCTGGGTAGCGCCGGCGACCGATGGCTCGGCTACCTTGGCTGTGCCCAGCCGGAAATACATTTCCGATTCGGAGTCGAATCGACGTCGATCTGAAAGGTCGAAAAAAATGTCCGATTCGACCTCGAAATGTACTTTAAATCGGTACCGTTACGACGTCGACCTGTTTTCGATTACTTGTTTATTTCGAGTACACCAATGGGTCCATGCTCATCCGATTTACTACTCTTTTCGAGGTCAATTCTGAATTCGAGATAAATTCGGATAAAACTCGAGATCGAAAATCATTCGATTTTAAGTACTTTTCGAGGACAGTCCCTGCTCGATCGCCATCGATTTGAATGGGAGTCTGGCTGGGTTAAGGTAGACAAAGAGATTGTGTAGAATAAACTTTTATTAGTCAATACAGAAAAATATTGTACTCAAGGTACACTAGAAGTAACCAAACAAAATACTGGACTAGCTGGACAAAGTAATTGCTTAAAGTGAAATAAAATGTATGGTACCGAAGTCTGTTCAATACAGAAAATATTGTACTCAAGGTACACTAGAATTAACCAAAAAGCTACAAAAATATACAAAAAGTAAATCAAAAATATTCTACGTTTTTTGTTTTGAGGATTTGTGTTTCTTGGGTTCTTCTTTCTTCCGTTTCAACCTCCAAGTGGCATCACTAAACCACTTAGCGGCTGCAGAGTCCCAATCAGTGCAATCACCGGCTGGAAAAGCCTCCTTTAAAGTACCTAAAACATAAAATGTTCACAATGTTAATTAAAAACAAAACAAAAGAACGTTTGCACACACTCAATAGATTACTAAGCCAATATAAATGTGATAAACTTACCGAGGAATATCTCATACGTTTTGAGTTTCCTGAATGACAATTTTCTATTTCCACCATCAAGGTTTATGTTGACAGCAAGATTGTCAACAAAAAGTGTGCGCAAAATACCGCAAAAACTCGCGCAATCATGTGTACACGGCCCCCGAAATCACACGCGAATCATTGAGAATCACGCGAAATCAAGCAATCAGAAATCAACCAAAATCACTAAAATCGTTCGAAATCAGGCAGAGTCACAAGAAACCAGGCAAAATCAGTCCGAAATCATTTCTTTCCGAACACAATCGCACACAATCACGCTCAACATCACCCTGGTGCGTCGCGGAATAAGGCAGAATCAGCCATGAAATCAATTAAAGCCATGCGCAATAACACAGAAATCACACAATCACGCGCAATCAAGATGAAATTTTCAAATCAGACAAAATCTCGCAAATTATTCAAACGCGTGAATTACGCGAATCATTGCGTTTTCCGAATCATGTGTACACGAAAATCCCGAGTTTTTGCCCCCTCGATTTGTTTTTAGTTGTCTTTCCCAAGGAAAACGTGTTTTATCAACGTATCCAAATATGTCTACAAACTTCGGTATGGTAGTAATGGTTTTCCTCATTTCATTTCCTCTTCTCTAATAAATTTGCTTTTGCTTTTGTAGCTTATGTGGAACTGTTGCACCTAGGGACTACATAATAATTGTTTATTAGAGAAGAGGAAGTGAGAGACCTACCAGGATCAAATCTTAGGTGGTTTATTTTAAGGATGACAGTTTTGATGATTTTGACAAAATTCCTTGTGTTGGCCTACACCCACCAGGGTCAAATCATAGGTGGATTATTTTGGGGATGACAGTTTCGATGATTTCGACAAAATTCCTTGAGTAGGCCAAACCAAGCAACGTTCAAAACTTGGTCGGCACCATTTTTCTCCTCTATTTATGACTAGAAAGAAGAAACACAATCCAGTACTGAGCAAACAACTTTAACTATCATAAGATCAAAAAGCGACATTTTTCCGCTAAATTTGTCAAATGTAGTAAAATGTAAATATCTCAGGTGTTGTTTGTGCTGGCCAACCTCCCTCTTAGTGTTGATAGGTCCTAATAGTAACTGTTAAGCCCACAAAGTTTAAACCGATTTCGTGACCCAATCTCTCACCTCGGACCACCTTGGGCTGGAGATATTTTGACAAGAGCGGCTTTGTTGCAGAGTTTGAACTTCGCTGAGATGAGTGATTTTTCAAACTTCACCAAATAGACATTATCTTACAGATTTAGATTCGTCTCGAGAAGACAAACAAAAAATCTCAACACATGTCATGGGTTAAAATAGAAAATGAAAGAGTAATTGGATTTTTAGAGTGCAAAAATGGTCAAAAAGACATTAGAAGTTCAATAATTCTTTCATTTTCCATTTTAACCCATGATATGTGTTGACATTTTTTGTTTGTCTTCTTGAGACGAATCTAATTCTGTAGGGTGATGTGTATTCGGTCAAGTTTGAAATTTGGCTCCAGGCGCTGCCCTGCGGCTGATGGACGCGGGTGGGGCGGCCTCGGGCGGCCTGCACTACGTTTGCGCTACGCGCGCTGCGAATGCACCACGCTAGCGCTAATTCGCTCTACGAATGCACTGCGCTTGCGCTACCACTGCACTTTATTCGCACTAAAATGCTCTACGAATGCTCTATGATTGCACGAAATTGCACTACGGCGGCTCCATGTTCGCACTAAAACGCTCTGTGAATGCCCTTCGATTGCACGATAGTGCACTACGGTCGCACCAGAAAAGCACGAGAACGCACTAAATTTTTTATACAGGGGAAGTGGACTGATACGTAATGTTTTCCATATCAAATTAGAAATCTAAGTCATGTCAACTATTTATCTCCGTTATCTCCTAAACGATGTGGAGTTTGGAGACAAGGGTCATTCCATGTGAAATCGACAAGGTTCAAATCGACCAGTGCTCCGATTTTGATGAAACTTGCAGCGATTGTTGGTCTTATGGTCCCATTGAAGTTGCCAAAATATTTTGGTCGAAATGTCAAAGGGGTCTGAGTAGTGCACGATTCAATTTTTTTCACTTTTTGTGAATGGGTATCCGTTTTTTTGCTAATATCTCCGGAACTATTCGTCGTACGACAAAAATGAGTACACCGTTGGAAAGAGGAGAAAAAACTGAATAAAATCAAAAAAAATTATTTTTTTTGGAGAAAAAAAATTTTCTTTTATACTAAACTCAAACTTTCAAAGTTATGTTTGAAACTGTTCCCCTTCATCAAAATTGACATGCTATGGCTCAAAAAGTAGCTTTACCCTTCCCCTAAACGAAAATGTCAATCATACAAAGTACTTTTTTTCGTTTGGGAGAACGAGCGATTTCCGTGGACCTCTGCACTGGATCCGGGCCTACCCTCTGCCTGAACGGTGCACAACGGCCCGGCGCTGTGGCACCGCGGTGTCCTGCCACCCACCCCCATCCCTTTCCGCAGTTCCCAGAGCAGAAGTAGGGGCGCCTGGAGGGTAGGCCGCACCCCGCACGCCGCCCCGGGCTCCCACGGTCACCGCCCAGCAGGTAGGCAACCCTTCCTAGTCACCCCGAGCCTTGCTTCGTGGCGCAGCCGAAGTGCAGCCGAAGTTGATGCGAAAACGGCATTCCCCCCGACGGTGCTGCCAGTGTTTGGGCTGTGGCGACAAGACGAACTTGTTGTTGTTCCTTTGTCTTGGTTTGTTTACTTTCTGCACCGACTACTTGTTGGAGTAAATATTTTTTGAGCATTGACTTTGAGTCGATTTTATGCCCTGAAAAGGTCCGTTTTTCTTGTGTACGAGTTCTTTCTCTTTTTTAAAAAATCTGATATTATAGGATTGTGCTTTGGTTTGATGACGCTTCTTGTTTTATTTTGAGGTTTGGTTTCTTTGTGGTTCAGGTTCCCCCTACACAATGGGCCGAGCAGACACCAAGAAGTGTTTCCTGAGAAAGGTACAACATCTTCCTGATGTTGGTGCCTGCTCTGGGGATTCCACTGCAAGAGCCAGCCTATCTCCAGAAAGGATTCGTTTGCTCAAGATCAGAAGTGGCTGCAGAAAGAGTTTGCAGTATGTTTGTGATGGACATTTCACTAAGTTCATTCACCGCTTTGAAGCACACCAGAAAAACTGCTGTCTTCATCAGTCAACATCTGTTCATGATGGCCCTCCAGCCAAAAAGAAAAAAACTGGCACTCCTCAATTGCATGTTATTACACTCCAAATGCGGGACAGTGCCAAAACTATTGGACTTGCTTTGGTGCCCGGCAAGAAAGTGTGTGTCAAGTGCAAGATTGACCTGAACGCTAAAATCAAAGCTGCTGAAAAATCTGCCGCAGAAAAGGCTGCTCGAGAATCTTCAAGCAACGCTCCTGACCCGGCTTCAATTTCCAACCCTCCTATATTTTCGTCACCTAGTGTAGGGTCTACTTTGGCCCCCAGTGATATTACAACTCCCACTGTACCTGCTGATAAAAAGGCTTCTAAAGAAGAGTTTTTTCAGGAGAGTATTGATGGATTAAATACTTGGCTGTCCTCTCTTGGATTCTCTCCTGTTAATGAAAGGAAATTAAAGACTCAGAAGAGCTATGGGCGTAAAGTTATGAAGAAAATAAGAGCAGCGCTGACAAAATTTTCTGATCAACAACTAACTGAGGACGAAGATGCAGCACACTTCAGAGAAATAATAGGCCAACTACAGCAATTTATTGATTGTCATCCCCAGCCCGATAAAAAATTATTAGCTTTATCAGTTGTACCAAAAAGTTGGAGCATTTCCAGGATTGAAAGCACATTTGGGGTATCCAACTACATGGCGAGGAAAAGCCGTCTACTAGTGCAAGACAAGGGTATTCTGTGTGGCCCGGGTCCTAAAGTGGGACGCAAACTTTCACCTGAGACAGTGGAGCTGAACACCAAATTCTACTACAGGGACGACATAAGTCGGCCTCTCCCTGGAGCCAAAGATGTACTGAGTGTTTTAGTGGACGGGAAGAGAGTGAAGAAAACTAAAAGACTAGTGCTGTCTACTCTCAGTTGCTTGCATCAAAAGTTTAAAGAGGAACACCCTGATCACAAAGTCTCTTTAGCTAAATTTTGTGAACTGAGACCAAAAGAGTGTGTATTAGCTGGTAGTGCCGGGACTCATGTGATTTGTGTGTGCACCTATCATCAGAATCCAGAACTTATGTTTGAAGCGGGAAATCTAAGTGAAGCTGGATTAGAAAATATAAAAGCGTGCAAAAAGTTGCTTTTATGCTTAGAGCCTAGTGAAGACTGTTTTTTTTTCGAAGATGTAATGACTGTTGTGATTCCACTGTTTTACAGGAAAAATTGGAAGTTTATTTTGACTCAGAAATGATTTCCACTGTGGTTTACAACCAGTGGGAGTCCACAGACCGGGCAAATATTGTAACTTTAAGTAAATCTACTGATGATTTTATTTCTGAGTTTATATCGCAGATTGAAAGTCTCATACCCCATGATTTTATTAGCAAAGTGCAAGCAAATTTCTATAAGGAATCAATTGAAAATTTAAAAGATGGTGAAGTTGTTGTTAATGTTGACTTTGCAGAAAATTTCTCTTTTGTTGTACAAAATAGCTCCCAGGGGTGGTACTTTAATAATAAACAGGCGACATTGCATCCCTGTTTGATTTATTATAAAGATGCTGAGGGCAAAGTATGCCACTCAGCATTTGTTTTGATATCAGATCACTTGGACCATAGTACTGCTGCAGTGCATACATTTCAGAAAAAATTGACCCGTCATATAACTGAGGACCTCAAGATAAAGCTGGCTAAAGTCAAATATTTTTCAGACGGTTGTGCTGCTCAGTACAAAAATAAAAAAGCTGCCGCCAATGTATGGTTTCATGAAAGGGATTTTGGAGTACCTGCAGAATGGCACTTTTATGCTACGAGCCATGGAAAAACTGCCTGTGATGGTGTGGGCGGCATGATCAAACATACTACAATGTTGCATTGCCTACGCTTAACAGCAAAAGACCCACAAATAACAATTGCATATGA